GGGCGAGACATCCTTCAAGCTCCTCGCAGCAGGCTTGGCAGGCTGCTTCTCTCCCACCCAGGCGCTGCTCCTCTCCCTGCCGGACTCACACACGCTCTCTTCCCATTCCCCTTCCAGGTCCTGGCACCTACACCCTGCCCAGGCTGGTGGGACCCAACACAGCCTACACCCACGCCAGCCCCTGCTACTCCATGAAAGGGAAGAGTAAGCACAACGGCTTTGCTGAAGACCTCGCCAAGGTGAGCTACGCTTCTCTGCTGTCTCGCAGCTGCTCTCCTCAGGGCCGGAGGGCTCTGACTCCTGCTGCAGCCTCTCTTCACGCCCACTTCCCTGCACCAGCAGCAAAACCCAAGGAGCCATGGGTCCCGTGGCTCTCCTGCTGCCAACAGCAACGCCGACACCCGCAGTCCCTCGCTTTCCAACACTAACAGTTTTGGTGGGGCAAAACTCATCGGCAGTAATGGGAATCTCCCTCTCCTCTGCGAAATCTGCCTCTGCAGGGGAACAGGAGGGGCCCTTGTTCCAATCGCTCCGTGCCTCTCACGCCACTTCTCTGGCCAGCCAGCTCAACTAGCGCAGCCCGCGTGGGCACCCGGCAAGAATCAACTTTTGTTGTTCTTGTTTGCTGCCTTTTGTACCCAACAACCTCCCTGCCTCTCTTACAGACGCCAGGTCCTGCTGCATTCCCCAAGGTGGAAGTGGACACCTACAAGAAAAGGGCTCCCGTGTACACGATGGGAAGCAAAAGTGGAATTGGAGGTGACAAAACAGTGAAGCCAGGACCGGCAGACTACTGCCTGGGAAAGGTAAGGCAGCCTGCCCAAATCTCCTCCCCTGCTTTGCAACAACCAGCCCTTAAGCATCTCCCCCTTCCAACGGGGCTTCTCAGAACTCCAGACCACCTTACTGGAGCGACAAACCGCAGGACAGCAGGCCTGCTCCCTTGCCTTGGCCCAAAGCCGAGCAGAGTGAGGCCAAAGAACACATCTTTGCCTCTGCACTAGCTCAGGTGCTCAATGGTGACACATGCTCGCACATTACAAGCTCTTCAGGAGGACACACTGCTGCAGAAGGCACAAGCAGAGCCAAGGGCAGACCCTTCTCACGCAGGGGGGATCAGCTGGGAGGGCAGGGGTGTCTAGCAAAGTCTGGCTGGAGCTAGAAGGGCTCTGGACTTGGAGCAAGTGCCAGTGCCAGCTCAGCTCCAGCCATGAGCTTGCCCTGCCAGACGGAGCGGGCACGTCGCTCCATTTTGCGTCAAACACAAGCTCTTTGCTTTGAGCGGCCTCCTGAAGACAATCGAGGGATGGATTTTACCTGCCCCTAAACTCTTTTTTTTTTCTCTTGCCTTTATATGCCTCTCCAAAAAGGGAGAAATGCCAATCAGTAACAGCAGCAGACCCTTAGAAATGTCCTGATCACACAGGAGGTTTCCATCAGGTGTGCCACTGGCACAGGGGGAGTTAGCTGAAAGTGCCCGGGCGCGCACACAGCAATGCACGGCAAACGGCAAATGCACGGCCATCAACTTGTTATGCCAGACGGCCTTCGCC